AATAATAATAATAATAATAATAATGTGGAGTATAAGATTCAGAGTAAATTGCAATTTTAGTCCAGTAACTTAGGCTGTTTCCCATTTTAGTCCACTAACTTAGGCCGATCCAAATTTGGTCCCAAAACTCTCAAAAGTTAGTCCAAAAACTTAGGTTGTTTCCCATTTTAGTCCACTAACTTAGGCCGATCCAAATTTGGTCCAAAAACTCTCAAAAGTTAGTTAAATCAGTACAATTTCGGTCCAATTGATTGGTCAATTTCAGTCCAATTATAGTCCAATTGGACTGATTTAACTAACTTTTGGGAGTTTTTGGACCAAATTTGGATCGGCCTAAATTAGTGGACTAAAATGGGAAACAGCCTAAGTTACTGGACTACAATTGCAATTTTCTCTAAGATTCAAGATATATCTATCCTAAAGCTATGAATTCGAAGGACTATACTTTACATCTTTAGTTGTACTCAGTTGCTATCAGTTACCTTCACATGTGCGTGCAGTCGCATACTCAAACATTCATGTAAAGCTCATATATATAAGAAGACTATTTACTTTATATTTGGCATGCTATTAAATATATAAATTAAAGCTGATAATTTGCCAAAACCCACATTACAAAGTACCCAAAAGCTCCATCTTTTAATCAATAGCTTATAGAATTAACTAACCACTACGGGCAGCTCATATATATATGCTAATCAATTATAAACAAAACCACATGAGTTTGAGGATAAGGGAATCTATATATGTATGTGATCATTATTATATATAACTCATAAATAAAACCCTATTTTTATAAATTTAAGTGCAACTTGTCGTTACTGCTGCCTGCAAATGTATCTATGAATGTTGGATCTTGTATTTTCATATATATATATATATATGGTCAATTGAATAGACAAATTAGATTTATTGTTTATTGTCCGTTTTAATCATGAATTGTCAAATTAATAGATATTTTTTTTTTTTTTTTTTTGCCTCATGATTGTTATTATTCTTATGGGAAAATGTCGGAGTTTGTAACCGTTAGATCATCATGTAACCGTTAGAGACAGTTGATCTAACGGTTACAAACCCGACGGAATAGTTTCGTAATAGGACCGAAACATCTGAATGTACACATTAACAAAAATTGGATAAGAGTAGATGGATTAGATGTAGCATAAGATTCTGGGAAAAACTAAGTATTTAATAATATGAACAAGTTGCAATAAAGAAAGGGCACACACAGTTCCCCAAAGTCCATACCTCAAAAATATTTGTGAAAACTCATCCAAAACAATTCAACGAAAACAAAAACAAAAGAAAACAAGACTGACCGATGCCCTTTTGTTTTGTTCCTTTCTTTTTTTTTTTTCTTGGTTTTACAATCACAAGCCAGAAATCAAAGTGGGAGCTGATGATGATCCAATCACAACGATTAAGAAGAAGAAAAAAAAGAGACTAAATTTACACCATGATTATCTGACCTCATGAAACCCTAATAGGGTGGCCGGCCACCGGCGGAATTCCCCCAGCCGCCTTCCATCTGAAGCTGGCCTTCGTTGGGCATATTCAGAAAGGGAAGCCCCAGCGAGGGATCTGGAAAGTGATGACTGCCTCCCGTTGGCACAGAAGCTGGCGCCTGCATCTGAATCCCGGTCATCTCCTCCTCCTCCTCCTCCAGCGGCAGCCTCTCGTACGCCACGTTGGTGAAGGACGCAGCTATAATGATGACGGGGCCCGACGCGATGAGTGGGCCCACCACATTCCCGCCCACCACCTGCCCTTGTCCCCCGGCCAGGTACACCGACAGGGTGGTGGCCCCCGGAGGAGCCGGCGGCGGCAGGAACGACCCGGACAGCGACAGGATCTCGAAGCGTCCCTGGAGGGCGGCCACCACACCCCCCGCCGACGCCGGCTGCTGCAGGCTGACGTTGGCCACCGTGCCCGTCCCGCTCAGGACGCAGATCCCGCGCTGCCGCCGCCGCGCGTACGCTGCCACCGCCTCAAACACGTCCGTGCCGCCGCCCACCTCCAGGATGTGGGCACGGAGCGTGTTGGCGCTCTCCCGGGTGATGATGACGGGGGGCTTCGGCTTGTTCTTGGATCCCGGGGGCCGGCCGCGCGGCCGGCGGGCCTCCGCGGCGTCTGGGTAGGAATTGTCGCCGGATAAGTGGTGGTTGCGGTTGGAGTGATCATCCTCGGAGTCGTCGGGCCTCTGGAGATGGAGGTCGGGCCTATGAAGCTGAGACACAAAGTGGGACGACGAGCCCAACTCCAAACCAGCCATACATACGATTTTACCACAAAACACGAACAAACAGGAATACAACAGGAAACCAGCAAATAAAATAATTCTTTACCTGAATAAAGAAAACCAAACTTTAATTATTAGCTACTGTGATTTCCTCTTTTTATTATTTATTTTTTTTTCCCTTTTTTTTCGTGAATGAATAAAGAAATGAAAGCAGGAACAGTTGAAACCCTAAAAAAACTCAAGGAGAGGATAAAGGAAATGTTGATGAAGAAATGTAGAGAGAGAAAGAAGGAACCATCTCAAAGCTCTAAAGTAAACTAAGTGATGTATATAATATTATTAGGGGGGTATAGATGGGAGAGAGTGAAGGTCATTATATTTTGTAACATACTTTTGATTAAAATAAGATCATCATTAGAATTTATTTATGTTCACAAGCATTAAGTATAGAGTACTTTCAAAAAGACAGGCACTTATAGCCAAGCTTGTTGAAGTTTGTGATCATTAAATAATACACAAGTGTAAATCAAATATGTAAAGATAAAAGGCAAATACGGATTATCCAAGAGCGCTTGGATGAGATGGCTTGGGTCTCTTCCAGTTTAACCAGTAGTCTCGTGTTCGAGCCATGGGAATGCAGCAGTGTTAAAACTCTTGAGAGAGAGCTTTGTCGCCCTTGTGGTCCTACCCGACTCGATTCCGGATTAGTCGGTTCCTCTGTGGATCCGGAAACCGGAACCGGAAGGTCCCTGTACAAAAAAAAAAAAAAGGCAAATACGGATTGGTTTATTATTAGATATTAATTGAAATGTATTTTATAATAACAAATAAATAAATCGGCCAATAATAAAGTTCATAGCCTTCTATATATATATATATATCCCATTGTACATATAATATAGTTAATATAGTTCGTAATTGACTTCAATTAAATATCATGTTGTTAATGTTTAACAAAATGACAATTTATTTTACACCTCAATATATGTATATTTTTTTATACATTATCCCATCATTTTTCTTTTTTTTTTTCATCCTAAAACTTAGGACATGATATGCAGTATAAATATTGCATGCCCAAAAATGAATTTCATAAATTATAGTTATGCAAGATTTTGTCGCATATATACAAACACATATCCAAATCGGACGTATAATTAATAAATATGAGAGACACTTTCGCATGTTTTTTGATCGCTTATACAAATTCACCGCTTAATTTTTTTTTGTTATGCGACCATTTTTCACATAATTTACGACTTACGTATTCAAATCGAATGCATAGCTAATAACTATGTGAAACACTTTCGCATATTTTACAATAGCATATACAAATCCACTGACTAAGATGTATCCATTTAGTTAATTGTCCCCCTATCAGAGCGTATGTCACCTCATCCAAATTATCATCAAGAACAGACACATGTGAACTATGAGGAAAACAAAGATAAAGAGTTTATCACAACATGGGAAAAGTCGACGACACAATTGCGAACAAATTTATGTTACTTTGGAGACCCAATCACATTGAAACTATATGAGATTAGCATATAACTCACGGGAAAAATTCAAAACTAGTCTCACAGGTATAGAGGGGTGACAATTATAGTCCCAACGGAATGTAAAAAAAATATAAATAGTCCCACAACTTTTAAAAAATGATCAAGAGTAGGACTTTTGCCGGATTTTACTGTTTCTGGCCCGGAATGCCACGTGGCGCACACGTGGCATATTTTGTTGCATATTTTATGCATACTTGTGGGACCAAAATGTCACCGTCCTATACCTGCGGGACCAAAAATGTCACCTCCTTATACCTGTGGGACTAGTTTTGATTTTTTTCATATCCACATCGGATGTCAGCGTGTAAAAAATATATGCCACGTGTGCGTCACGTGGCATTCCGGGCCGAAAACAGTAAAATCCGGTAAAAAGTCCTACTTTTGATCGTTTTTTAAAAGTTGTGAGACTATTTATATTTTTTGCATTCCGTTGGGACAAAAAATGTCACCCACCTATACATGTGGGACTAGTTTTCAATTTTTCCCTATAACTCACAAACCAAACCAGGGCAAAACCTACCAGCAGACACAACTGATTTTTCTAAACCTAGGTTTTTTTATCATATCAAGGAGACCCAACTTTTCAAAACGAAAAACAACAATGGCACGCTCAGGACGAAAAGACATTTATGAAAAAAACTGAATAAACGATTTTCTGCTGATATGGTATAAAATCGACTAGAGTATGTGTTCCCAATGTCGTAAGCATTGTCATCATCGTCCATTTCATCACCAAAAGTTTCGCTTGATGGGATTGAGTTGCACGATATTATGCTAAGCAAATGAAAGCAAATGATGCAAAATGCAAAAAGAGAGAAAAAGATCGAAACTTTGGTCTACCGGAATCTGCATGACTCAAGAAAAAGAAAAATAAACAAGAGAAAGCATGCGAGTATAGTGATCCTAGGTATTCTAACACGAGCTTTCTACAATAAATCAT